TTATGAGTCAGAACCAATTCCATGGCACATCACCACCTCCATGAAAAGCTGTAAAAATGTTTATATCTCCTTTATCCAATAAATCAATCCTTCAGCATTTTTGTAAGTAAATGTGCAAAAAGCCAAGGCAGTAAGAATGAAGACACTCTGCAGTGTTATTTAAAATAGTAAAATTCAGATGAAACTTCAATGAGAGAACATTAATATTTCAACTTAAAGGACTATTATACAGCTACCATAGTAGTTAGAATGGAGACTACAGCCACATGGAAAAGAGTTTTACAGTAAGAGAGAGTCCCAAACTTTCATGCACGTTAAGATGAAAACATATATATACATATGTGTATATATATGAACAAAGAAATATCATTCAAGGAACATTGAAAAATGAAATAAGTTCATGTTCCAAGTAGTGGGACAGGGTAATTCTTTTTAACTTTATAAACTATTCTTTAATACAATGAGTTAAAACTGGCAACTGTAATCAAAGACAAAAGGGCAAGAATCTTGATTTTAAAGTGTTTTAATTCGGCTCTTTTCACATTGTTTCCTGGTAACCAATGATATTTAAACCACAGGACCATTCAAAGACTGTCAGCAAGCAAAAGAAGCCGGACATTCCATCAGTGGGATTTATATGATTAAACCTGAAAACAGCAATAACCCGATGCAGTTATGGTGCGAAAACAGTTTGGACCCCGGGGGCTGGACTGTTATTCAGAAAAGAACAGATGGCTCTGTCAACTTCTTCAGAAACTGGGAAACTTATAAGGTAATCGACGGTTCAAATCTGGGGGAGGTAGAATAAAGCTCTTTTTGCAAGAGTGGCTATTCTGTGCAATAAACAAGACACAGAGTTTAAAAACAACTATCCCTATATCTTTCATTACCTACATTTGTCAGAAAGAGTTTTCATCTCCAGATTTTAAAGTCAAAATTAAAATGTTAAAACATACTTTAAAACTGCCACCTTTCAATCTGGATGACTTACAAATAAGCATTGCAAAGACTTCACTCCATTTTCGAAGACAACTGTTTTTTTATGTACTTAGGAATATTTGTATGGCACTGTAGGATAAACAGTGGACCTCTAGGCCAATTCGAACTGCAAGGTCAGTGGTTCAAATCCACCAGAAACCCTATACAGTTGAGTTGGAACCGATTTAACAACAACCATCAAGAAAATTTAAAAGACTCATATAAAGTACTGTTGTTGTTTAGAGCTTCAAAAAATGACCCCTTCCTTGGACTAATGACCTCTGATCACCTGTCACAGTATTCTTAGGTTGTGACACGCACTGGTGTGTTAGAAAGTGATATACCCCTATGCTTTCATGTCGCACTAGAGCCGTGCAACACTAATTCTGGAAGGTAAAGCACAAGCCTTTACTATTAATTTTAATGCTGATCTTGCTAATTTTATGAATGGAATATACTTTCACAATTTAAGGATGGTGGATGCAAGAGATAAAATTAAGATTCTTAATAAAACTGCATTCAATATTTCTTCACAGAAATCACATTTAATAGACCACTAGCAATGAATTTTAGCTTATGTCTCTATCAACTTAATGAAAAATGCTTGGTTTACTTTTATTTATATTTTCTAGATGGTTACCCTTTTAAAATTGTAAAGTAATAACATATCATTTAGGTGAAATCTTATTGGCAGCTATAAGTAGGACATTTAATACATTCATGTCAGAGTTGTATCACTTTCTGAACATGTAACTAGCATAAATGAGAGGGAGGAATCCCTCAACACAGTCTCCTAGAAGATACATCTAGAGTACCAAGATCAAGTCTACTGAATCTTATATTTTGCTGTATACAGCCAGGGTTAAAAGCTTATGGAAATAGGGCAATTATTTGTTTTGTTAAACATTAATTTAAAAAAAATTCAAAATAATCTTATAAGATTACTTGCACTTTATCATGTATATTGACTTATAGTGAAAGAGGACAAATTGCTTTAAAATCATTATTATGATTTGTATTAAATGATCATAATAATAACCTGCTATATATCTTTTTTGTTTCGCTATGATACGGATTTACCTACCAATCACTAAAGCCAGTGATGATAAAACTTTAGACTTTTACCAACTTCTGTCTGAATTGATCAAACATGCAATCAAGATGCAAGATTTGATACCAGTGATTGGGATGCAAAGATTAGAAACAAAGAGGATCAGTTAGTTGGAAAAGTGGCCTTGGTGATTAAAGCCAACATAAAAGGTGAATCCTGGTATGGCTGTGTAAGATAAGCGCTGGACAACTATCTGCAAGGTTGGCAGTTCAAACCCACCAGTTGCTCCTTGGAAATCCTATACAGGGTTGCTATAAATCAGAACGGACTCAACAATACTCAATAGCAAAAGATAACTACACACAGACTTTAGCCAATGGGATACAAGCTGAAATAAGAAGAAGAAAAATTCAAGTCTCGGCTTGCAGTATTGAAAAGATTTTTTAAGGTCAATTTTTTTTTTTTTTACTTTTTATTGCAAATTGAGTGAAGGTAAACAGACAAGATCATCAGCTTTGCTTTAAACCAATCTACATTTTGTTTCATCTCAGGGATTACACTCCCCTCCCTACAACCGTTACCCTGCTTCCACCCTATGGCTTCCCTTTTACATCTTATTTTTCATAAATAGACAAAGCAAAAATATTTGATGTACACATACACAACAAAATATATGTACTCATTTAAATGTCCAAAAGGCACATTTTGCAAGCCAGCCTCCTGCCCACAGGCACAAAGCCTTACTCAGTCCTTGGGCCTAGAGTCCTCAGCTGCTCTAGCTCTTCCTCGGTCAAAACATTGAATGATGCAGAAAGCATCAAAAGAAGATGAAGGTGTAGACACAGAGTCACCCCACCAAAAAGAAATGGCAACTATCATTTCAAGAGGTAGCATATGATCAAGAGTCAGTGACACTGAAGGAAGAAGTCCAAGGTGCACTAAAGGCATAGCAAAAGTAAGGCTCCAGGAAATGATGGAATACAAATTGAAATCTTTCAACAAACTGATGCAGCACTGGAGGCGCTCACTCATCTGTTATCAGCAGACAGCTATCTGGCAACCAACAGGAAAATATTCATTATTTGTTCCCATTTCAAAGAGAGGTGAACCAATGGAATGTGGAAATCATTGGGCATTATCATTAATATCACATGCAGTAAAATTTTTCTGAAGATAATTTAAAAGCAGTTGCAACAGTTTATCAGCAGAGAACTGCCAGAAATTCAAGTCAGATTCAGATGAAGACATGCAACTAGGGATATCATTGCTGACATCAGCTGGATCTTGGCTGAAAGCAGACAATACCAGAGAGATGTTCACTTCTGCTTTATTGACTAGCAAAGGCTTTTAGCTGCGAGTTGTTGCTGCTGTTAAGTGCTGTTGAGTCAGTTCTGACTCACAGCAACCCTGTATAGGGTTTCCAAGGAGCGGCTGATGAGTTTGAACTGCCAACCTTGTGGTTCAAACTGACCTTGCAGTCCAGTGCTTTATCCTACAGCTCCATACCAGAACTATGGATAACACTGTGAAAAATGGGTATTCCAGAACACTTCACTGTGATCATGAGGAACCTGTACATAGACCAAGAGTCAGTTCTTTGAACAAGGGATACCATTTGAATGGTTTAAAATCTGGAAAGGTGTATGCCAGGGTTGTATCCTTTCACCATACTTATATCAACCTGTATGCTGAGCAAATAATCTTAGGAACTTGGTTTTGAGGATAAACATGGCATCAATATTGGAGGGAGTAATATCTGGCGATATGCAGATGATAAAACTTTGCTTGCTAGAAGCAAAGAGGGCTTAAAATATTCACTGATTAAGATCAACGACTACAGTAGTCAGTACAGATTGGGGAAAAAAAAATCCTTACAGCTGGATCAATCAATCAATAAATAAACAGAAAAAATTGAAGCTGTCAAAGACTTATATTTGCTTGGATCCACAATGAACACTCATGGAAACAGCTGTCAAGAAATGAAGCAATGTATTGCATTAGGCAAATCTGCTGCACAAGACCTTTTTAAAGGGTTAAAGAGCAAATACATTTGTTTGAGGACTAAGGTGTGCCTGACCAAAGCCATCGTATTTTCAATAGCCTAATATACATGTGAAAGTTGTAGAATGAATAAGTCAGACCATAGAAGAATCGATGCATTTGAATTATGGTGTTAGAAAGGAACAGCCAGAATGTTCCTTAGAAGCTAGGATAGTGAGACTTGTCTCCTATAATGCAGACATGTTATCAGGAGTTACCTGTCACTGGAAAAGGACATCATGTTCGACAAAGTGCAAGGTCAACAATAAAGAAGAAGACTCCCAATGCGACAGACTAACACAGTAGCAACAACAATGGGCTAAAATGTAACAATAATTGTGAGGATGGGGCAGGACTGGGAAATGTTTTGTTCTATTATGCATAAGATCACTATGAGTCGGAACAAGTCTACAGCACCTAACAACATGATGGGGAAGTATCCGTATCCTTTTGGAAAAATAAGTGTTTTGATGCTTTGTATGAGACAGACAAGGGACAATTAAGGATCTTAGGTTCAATGTGTGTTTAGTAGCTATGAATAAATTTCATTCCCTTTGGTTTTGTCTTACTGAGACAATGTTTTTACTAGCTGTGCAGATCAATTCTGATATATTGAGAGAAAGTAAAACAAAACAAAGTGATTATATGAAGTTTATAAGATCAGGTGACCAAAGAACAAACAAGATGG